GGTTTTATCCAACATTTTCATAAAGATTCTCTTTCACCTACAGGCTGTGCACGTGATGTTTTGTTATCTGTGAGAGTTACCTTCTGATTTGCCACAGAGCATCTTTGGATTACTGGCTTAACCTGCTTTTGACTAATCCATTTCAGTCTGAGAATAGTTAAGAAAATCTCGTGGGCCAGTTGAGTTGGAAAACAAATAGGAGGTCCTTACCACTGATAGAATCTGTGCATGTCAAAGCACGTGTTAAAACAGCTCAGAGAAGATCCTGATGAGAATGCTTCTTTCAGCCTTGACAGCTGCTGCAGGAAGAGGAAAACTGGACGTCTGCGAGTTACTTCTTGAACGTGGAGCAGCTGTGAGCAGAGCCAACAGGAGGGGCGTTCCGCCGCTCTTCTGCGCAGTACGGCAGGGGCACTGGCAGGTCTGCTCCTTCTTCGCAGTCTGACGGAGTCACGTGGGAAGCTGTCCTTCATTTCTCCCCATCCGTTGTTCTGTAATGAATTGGTGTAAATGTTATAAAGTGCATTTGCACTGACTTCTAACAGAAACAGACATGTTCAGAAGTTTGTTTTAAGTTACTTAAAGTAACTTAAACGTAAATGATCTGAGAATACACTGGCTGTATGCTGATCGTAGTTGTAATACAGCTAAAAAGTAGTGTATGGAATTTAAAATACTTCATTTGCTCTGCCAAGAACACAGTCAATTTCAGATGCAGTAGACAGCGTGCACTGCATCTGCTGTGAGTAGACAGAACCTGAGAGTGAGGAGCCCCGTGCTCGCGCCTCTCATCAGGAAAAGTCTCCGAGTTGTTAGGAAACTGAGTTGAGCTGAGCAGGATTTCTCAGTGATTGCTGTAAATAGCACCTTGATCCTCTGCTCTAAAAGTTTATTCACAATAGCATAATGGCTAGAATTTAAACTTGATAATTTATTTTGAAAAAATTTACTTCTATTTCTTTTAAATTTCAGATTGCTAAACTTCTTCTGAAGCATGGGTCTGATGTGAATTTAAGCGACAAGCAAGGCAGAACTCCTCTCATGGTGGCTTCTTGTGAGGGACATTTGAGCACTGTGGAATTTCTTCTTTCTGCAGGTAGAAAATAAAGACTGTTTCAGTGCTGCACAGCTGTACCAGAGACTGCATTCATGTAAGTTAGGTTGTTTTGCCTATGAAAAAAGGACATCTCCATTACAAAGCTGATTTTCATTTTATAGGTGCAACTATTTCATCTCTGGACAAAGAAGGGCTGACAGCTTTGGGCTGGGCATGTCTAAAAGGCCACAGAGAAGTGGTTCAGTATTTAGTTGAGAAAGGCGCAACAGTTGATCAGACAGACAAAAATGGACGAACACCTCTAGACCTGGCAGCTTTTTATGGAGATGCTGATATTGTAAGTAGTTCTTAAATAGTAGAAAAACAAAACTTGTATTGATTTTTCATAACACAAAACAAAGTTTAGGAAAAAAGTTATCAGCCAAAACAGAAAGGAAATTTTTGTAACCAAGATGGTTACACCACGAACGTCTTGACTGCAGTTAAGAAGTGTTTACGCTGAAAAGCATTTTCTAGTAAGGCTTTAGTACCAAGCTAATTAGAAGTCCAGCATTATGCATATGTGTTTTATGGTAGTGGGTGTGTTAAATCTCAATATAAAGGAACATTATAATTTCTGTTTTGAATTAAAAAAGAAAAAAAGTCTGTGGTATGTAACATGGAAGGAAAATACATCTTTTTTTTCTTGCCTTTGCCAACCAATCAAAGCAACTGGATAGAGTCCCAGTCAGCTGGGAACCTGAGTGGAACAGAAGTGCCAAGAGAGACAGAGGAAGAAGAGTATTGCCAGAATGGATGAAATTAAGAAAGGTTTTAGTTCACCATTGCTACACAACGTTACTTTTCCATGCTGAGCATTTTGCAAGCTCTTGCATGGCAGTGAGAGAACTGTTAGCAACCCTTAGAGTTTTCATCTTAGGACTCTCACAGGGCTAAGTGCATTCCAGTGTTACTGTCCAGTCTATGAACTTGTAAACACAAAAGGCCTGAGATGTAGACTCATGTTTTTCTTAGTTCTGTGTTCTTAGTGGAACATAGGTCATTTCAGAGACAGAACAAGTGAAGTTCCTCTTTCAGTCTTGTGTCTTTCTCATGTACTGCCTTCTTTGTTTACAATAAACGTTAAAATGCAAGAATTAAAGGCATTTTAGAGGGAAGTCCTTCTGAATCTGAAATGAAGTATGCCTGTAACAGAGATCAGAATTACACAATAGCTTTGAAGCCTGTGACTCAGAATCCTATAAATCTTTAAATTTGTGATCTTGGAATTTATTGTATATTTTTGTTCTTGTGGTTCAAAACTCAGCAGTAAAGCACAGTTCAGAATTCTGTCCAGATAGGAATGAAATTGCAGTCTGCATGCGTTGCAAACAGATCCTACAGCTCAGTGGGAGTTAGAATGAATAGTATATGCAGCTTCTCAGACCAGTGTCTGTTCTTGTAGCTTGCATGTACACCATCCTGTTTTGAAACAGCACTTCTTGAAGAAAAGCACTATGCTATAATTTGCTATAGACTTTAAGACCTGTTCTGCTGTAATTAAAATTAACTTGAAATTGTATGCAAGCCCTTAGATTCTGAGCAGGCTTTAAGAGGTTTCAGCAGTCACATCACAGGGCTCTTCCTGCAACTGCAAGTGTTCCTCAGTAAAACTGAGTGCACAAATGTTTTTTGTTTCTTTTTTTTCCTGCTTGGGAGTGAGGGATATTGAGTCCTGCACGGCCGTACGTGGGCTGTCCCTCTGGAGCAGTAGCACAGCCTGCCAGGGCGCCTGATGCATTGGCCACTTGGAGAGTTCCCATAGCTGAACAGCCTGATGTTGTGCCAGGGCAGAGATCACACTGCAGGCCAGCAGAAGGCTTGGGGGCCTGGCAATGGAAAGGATTGTTAAAAACCTCTCTCCATGCCATGTTACTGCCAGTCACATTTAAGTAAGCAGAGGTTACCTGAAAGAACTGTTGCTTACATCAAAGCTGTTGTAATACCCTATATATTGCACTTTCAATTACTGTTACTGATGAACAAATTAGTGCTTGGAAGCCGATGGTGTCTGACATTTGTCTTCCTAAACTTATTTACTCTTGTGGCATTTCGCATTTGCTGTATTTATGCTTCAAACAGTGGTGTTAGACTGCTGGAATCGATGGGTAAGAAATTAATAAAATAATTCTCTGGGGCTTTTTTCTCTTTGTATTGAACAAGAAGCAGTTCTTCAGCACGATAACTTTTGTTTGAATTGTTAACTAGAATGTTGTGAAGTATCTGAGACAAAAATATTCCATTTTCCTTGTATTGTATTTGTACAACTTTTTGTCCTCTACTGGGTGCCGTCCAGGCACTGCGCCCAGTGCCTCACAGAGTGCCCACAGCCCCTGGTAACCAGCTGAAAGCACACCCTGCACTGCTGCTGTTTGTCTTTGTGGTACAGCTGCCTCCAGGAATGGGGGTGGCATGGTCTGTCTGTCTTTGACTGGGACAACGCAGCTCTTAGGCGCAGTTCGGTAGCGTTCCCATCTGCTGTATTCCACGGGCTCTGTTCAGTGGACTTAAAATGATGTAAATAAACTCTGGAGAGTATGCTCAGTGTGCTTCAAGGAAGTTTAGGAAGTGGTTTGCATGATTCACTGTTCTGCATCTCTCAGCAAGAAAAACATGACAAAGCCTGCTTGTTTCTTCTCACAGGTGCAGTACCTGGTAGATAAGGGAGCAATGATTGAGCACGTTGACCACAGCGGCATGCGGCCACTGGACAGAGCCATTGGGTGTCGTAATACATCAGTGGTGATGATGCTCCTGAGGAAAGGAGCTAAGCTAGGTTAGTAAACCTGTCACATCCTGGAGGGAAAGAACTGTCTGCTACACGGCAGTTGTTGTCACTTCTGTAAAGTAGATTGAATAAGCAGTTCTTGCAGCACAGACTACTTTGGTTTGTGGGTGCCAGCTCAAGTAACAGGTATCTTTCCTTTTTTTATAGATATTCCCTCAAGACTCACTTCAGAAGTGAGGAAATAGTAGTAGTCCTATTCTGCTCCTTTCATGTGCGTTAAGAAGCCCTGAAGAGTTAATCTTACATGGTTACTCTATCATAAGAAAACAATGTTTATGCTATTAGTGATCCTTAGTTCCGGCAGTATTACTGATTTGGGTGAAGAAGTTTTACATTTAAGTAACATTATGCTAATAAATTTTAGAATTGGACTTAAATTGTACATTTAGAATTGTACGTAAATTGTAGAACTGCAACCTGAATCGTGTATTATAGGCAGGTATGTATTGCAGCTGTCAGCATAATGACTGCTGAATCTCTTGTACCTTTAAATCATAACGTCTGTTTATGTGGTTCCTGAGTATGATTGAACACAGATCCCTCTGCAATCTTAAGCTTCACAATGGACTTTCATACTGTCCTTTAGACCACAGGAAAAAAAGAATCGCGCCGGTTAGTATCTGACTGCTAGCTGTGTGGGATGGTATGGGGCAGGTATACAAACGTGTGTTAAATATATGCATGCGCTGCTAATCATGGTAATTGTTTCATATAGATGAAATACTCACTGAAAGCTTTCCAATGTGAATAGTTGTCAGAAACAATTTTTTTTCACTTTGTCAGAGATTCTTACCATTTAACTTTCAGGAAATGCAGCATGGGCAATGGCCACCTCGAAACCAGATATTCTCCTTATTCTGCTGCAGAAACTGATGGAAGAAGGAAACACACTGTACAAAGTAGGTCAACTTTCCTTTTTCCTGATAGCAGTACTCTATAATTGGATTTCTGTTTGAAAGTAGATTGATGTTCTGTTATACTTTCTTTTCTATTCAGACAAGATGTGTACTTGCACATCCTTTCATGTTGGGTATGAGATCAGAAAACCTTGAGGATCCTGGGCAAGAATCATTTAAAACTAGCATGTAAAAAAAGCCAAGCCAAAACACCAGCCAGTTAATAAACAAATACATTTTATTTCAGTTGACCACGTGCTCTGTGGACACTTGTCAGTTGTTTCTTAGGAGCAGCTCAGAATGTGAGCACCTTGTTGAATTCAGTAACATCAGGGCTTTTCTTCAAGATCATCTAGTCCAACCACCCTCCCATTCCTATCCTTCAGTGATCTTTTGCACACTGTTTAAATACTGAACAAGGATCTCCTGATGCATTCTTTTTACTAGGCATGGTATTTTGCTCAGAAGAGTGGAACTGTTTTTGTAAACTGTTCCAATGCAGAGCTGAATGAATTATGTGGGCATTATTGAAAATCTGTTGTAGCCACAGGGTTTATAAATTGCACAGTTGTTTTTTAATAGGGGCCCTCAAATATCTGCCATTTTACCTCTGATTTCTGATGGCTTTGCATAATGGAGGAGAGGAACCCTTCAGACTTTGCTACAAATCAGGGTGGGCCTACTTAAAGTCCTCTGGACTCTGTGCAGACATCTTATGAATAATTTATCAAGCTCATCAATCCTGATATGAGTTTAGAACTTTATATCCAAGCAGGTACCGTCAAGGGTGGGACATCATTCAGGCCTAAAGGGTATCAGAGTTCATGCTACAAAGGCAATTCTGTCATTCCAGAGAGGCCTTTCCTGCACCTCACTAACACAGCAGTGTGTTCAGTGTGTCTCGCGGGTTCTGCAGGGAGAACCCACAGCATCACAGCACCAGCCCGTTCTGCTTCAGGTTCTCAGGTCACTCAGCAGGTTGGACCCTGCTTAGATTCTGAGACCAGGTCGGCACAGCAGGGTTGGTAGCAGCGTGCTTTGCAGTTTGTTACAAGAAGCTGAATTTCCTGCTGGTATTTTTAGACTTAATTTTATTACAGTGATTTGAATGACTTGCTAGAGCTAAGGTGTGTCATGTAGCTTATGAAACTTTTTCAAACACACTTTGCTTCATTCTTTTGCCAAAGTTTTGAATGGAAGGCTGCAGCATGTCTGAGCGTGTGATGGGGTTCGTTGTGCTTCGGCCTGGTTCTGTGACTAAATGGGGCAGGAGGACCCATGGGCCCAAGCCCCGAGATGGGCCAAGAAACAAAACAGTGGTAACAAGCTAAGGGAGAAAACTAATTTACTAAATACGATAGTGAAATGTGAGATAACACAGCATAATGCAATATATTTGGAATTGAAGCTAGTGAATTAGAAAAAATGAGTGTCCAAAACAGAAGGCGTTACTGTAAGGCTGAAAGTGAGACGGCCAGGGAGAGCAGACGAGCAGAAAAAGAAGGGGATGTGACTCCCAAACAGTTTTATCTTTCCCTCTGAATGGAAACAAAACAGTAAAGTCTTCTGGGATATGCAGTTCATTCTTTCTTTTCTGAGGCAGGTAAAACAGAACTGTCAACAATTCACGGAACTGCAGCATTGAGTCTTTACTCCCAGTGCACTACATGGTATTGTGATGTGGAATACAGATAACAAAAGTCATAAAACAATGGCAACATGCTTCCAGTGTGCAGCAATTACTTCTCAGCCTTTGTTAACAAGTGGGCGGCCAATCCTTTACTGCATTTATGTTCCTACATTCAGCCCTCCACCTAATACTCATGGCTGAGACACTGAAGTGAAGCTGGAGTAGCTGGGCTGCAGGTTTGAGTGCTGCGCCAGCTCCTTCTTGCTCTCCTCATCCATCCCTTATTCCGTGGTAGCACCACCTGGTGAAGGGTAACCATTCCTGATTAAGGATATACTCCATTAGAAATGTCTTAGAGCTTTAATAAACTGTATCATCAGACATTTGACTGCTCTCCTTAATAAATAAGTGAAATTAAGAATTGTATGGTGTCAAACACATTCTTGAAGAATTGTTCTGGTACAAGAAGTGTGTATTACTGTGTGTAGCGTCCTGGTGAAATACTATTAAAAATACTGAGTTTAGAAAGAAACATAAATTCTAATTACCTCTTAAGTTCCCTTACGGTACCTGTGTGTAAGTGCAACATATATACATTACAAATATATATTTCTCTGTGAAGAGTACATGTTGGTAGATTTCAAATATGAACGTGGTTGCACTGTGACAGCGCTGTAATAATACAGGTTTCTGAAAAAGCTTCTTATTCCCTATTCTGTAGAAAGGCAAGATGAAAGAAGCAGCACAGCGCTATCAGTATGCCTTGAGGAAGTTTCCGAGGGAAGGATTTGGAGAAGAAATGAAAGCATTCAATGAGATGAGAGTTTCATTGTACTTAAATTTATCACGGTGTCGCCGAAAAACAAATGTAAGCTCTTGTTTTTAATCTATTGCTTCTCTATCACTGGGAATCTTAGACACCTATTCTACCACACTGCTGATGGCTTCTGTTGCATCTTGCTGCTGCTGTGCTCTCGTGACTCTCCATCACTATGGTGAGCTCCAAAGGCAGAAGAGGGGAGGATGTGCAGATTCCTCCAAGGCGTATGGACGCAACTGAGTCTTAGGATTTCTCGCTTAGCAAACACTGGTACACTGCCCAGACATTGGACGTGGTTGGTTTTGGTGGTTTTTTTGCTGTTTTAGAATTCCTTTCACTGTGCTGTTCTGGGGCTTAGTTGTGTGAACAAATGGGGACAGTTCCCCAGATAAGGGGAGAACTATTGCAGCTGTTATGTTACCATTATTTTGGAATAACAAACTGCTGGCCATTCCTGGTACTTTTAAAGGACTACATGGAAAATTCTGCTGCCACCAGCATTTATTGTGAAGTGCCTGCTTATACAGCTTGTTGGTATGTGTTGGTTGTTCCTTTTGTAGCTTCAGCAGTGTATCAGATGGCAGCGAAGAACCTGAATGACCATTAGAGCTAAACCTTGCAATTCTATGAATACACCTCATACAATTCCTTCTTTTCAGGCACGAACTTCTTAATTCCCAAGTCTTCCATGTTGTTCATGGCATCTATTTCAATCTGAAGAACATTTAAACATGGATGTTGAGGATTTATCTTGGCCATTCTAGCACTGCTGTGCAAGTGCCATTCCTTTACTTTCGCTGTTAGAACTGCAGTCTCCAGCCGCCTCCTGGATCAGACTCTGTTTCTCAGTAGCCTCACACTAACAGCTGGAAGTGACTCTGTGATCAATGGGAGAGGGAGGAAAGGAGGAGATTCTTTCTATATACTCTCATGTGTTGTTTTGTGGTTTTGATTTTTCTTGATAAGCTTTTCCTTTGCTGTGCATGGGTGTTTTAAAAATTAGACTGGCTTCATCTTTCCATGGCCATCATTGCCCCATTTCAGTCGTGCTTTGTAAATTCCAGCTTTGGGTTTAATTGTATTTGCTAAACTGTTCTTTTTTGTTCTTGTGAAATGAAGACCAAATACATCAGATCTACTGGATCTACTGTAGGTTTTCTTTAGAATTCATACACACCTCCTCCAAGAAAGCTCTGGACTAATACAACTCCTTCAATGTCTTTTTTTCTTTTTTCTCTAAGTCTTTATTCTTTCTTTTCTCACAGTGCACTTCAAAGTGTTTTTATCTGAGGGGATCCCTTTCCTTGCTCAACATGCAGTCTCTTGTAGCAGTTTAATGCATGTGCATTGACAATAACTGTATAACACTGCATCTTAAATACTTTAGAGTCAGTTTCTGTTAGACTTCACAGCAAGGGCTACCAAGATACGGTCTGCTCCCAGTGTCACTTTCTGTACTGGACAAGCTATCTGCACTTTCTGAAGCACTACCATGATTGAAGCACACATGGCTCTCTTTTATTGTCAATGTATAATGAGTACATTTGTTTAAATAATTAGGATTTTGGTATGGCTGAAGAGTTCGCTACCAAAGCATTGGATTTGAAGCCCAAGTCTTACGAAGCCTATTATGCTCGAGCAAGGGCAAAAAGGAACAGCAGGTACTGTTTGATTCTGTTCGTAAGTCCACATTCATTTTTTTTAACTTTGTAATGCTTTCTGTGATTGCTTTTCTTTTCTGTTTTTTCTTTTCTTTTTGTGGTTGGAATTTAGAAAGAAAAATAGTTTTTTGGTACAGTTTCCGTATTATTAGGTTTCACCATCAGTCAAAACAAACCAAGCCCAAAAAGCAATATTAAATACCCATTCAGGTAATTATTAGCCCAGAAAGTAGATAGAAGTAAACTGATACGAAGTGAGTTCCTTTAAATGTCAGAGTGAGTAAGGAGAGGTATTCTACAGAATCATAGACCCATAGTATTGTTGGGGTGGAAGGAATGCCAAAGGCCCCCTGCTCCACCCCTGCCACGGGCTGACTGCCCCCCAGCAGTTCAGGCTGCACCTGACCCCATCCATGGCCTTGGGCACCTCTGGGCATGAAGCACCCACACTGCTTGTAGCACTGGTGCCAGCCCAAAGCAGAATAAGAAATTGACAGGGAGCAGAGTTTAGCTGGTGATCTCCTGTGAAGGTGAAGGGCTCGTGAGACAGTGCTTCAGTTCCTAGTTGATTTCTGCTGCCTTCCTGATGACTCTTGGGATGCAAGAGGGGAAAGACTTAGGACTAGGTCTGTGCTTCCACTGCAGAACTTCCTGGGTTGAAGACTATACAGTTCTTATCTTTTCACCACACTTACAGGAGATGACAGATCAGAACATCTCTTTGAAAGTGGTGGAGGTGGATATTACTGCTTAATAAGCAGTGCTGAAACTCAGACTTGTCCCAGGTTTTTATTAATGAATTCTGGGTCTTCTTCATACAGAAAGCTACTTGCTGCTCTTGCTGACCTACATGAAGCCACAAAGCTGTGTCCTAGCAATCAGGAAATAAAACGTCTTCTGGCTCGAGTAGAAGAGGAGTGTAAGCAGTTCCAGAGAACACAACAACAGAAGCATCAGTGCCCACAGTCAGGACAGCAAATTAATAACTCTGATAATGAGGAGGAGGATGTTATTCAAGGTGTGAATGAGAACTTCCATCTCCAAGAAAAAGAGGAAGAACTACCGCACCCTGATGAATCCGTTTCCTCTCCACAAAGGCTGCAGCGTTCCTTAGCTGCTTCATCATACGCTAGAAACATTCAAGACAGTGTTCAGCAGAAAGTGAGACCTGTGTCCCCTCAAGGCAGAACAGGCAATAAATATCTAAGAGAGCCAGGCTTGATCATGCAGCCAACAAAGCAAGCACAGATTGTAAAAACTAATCAGCACCTGAGCTCCATCCAGCCTGGATCAAAACTGGGAAGTAATCAATGTAATACAAAGACACAATCACCTTTTCAGCATCTTTCTCAAAGTCCTGTGCCAGTTCAACACTCTAAAATTCAGCATTTGGATGGGACAAGCGCATTTTCTGCTGGAAGTGCTTCCACAGGTGCTACTTCTGAGCTGTACAATGAGAAGTTCACATCCAGCCAGTGTTCCCATTCACAGCACTCTTTTGCAAAGAAATCCAAAACCACTGACCCATCACCAGCCCCATTTCAAATGAATTTCAGTGAAGCAAGACAGCAAACCCCTGTACCCAGCACTGTCTCTTCTAGTTCTCCATCTAGCAGTATGATTCTTGCCAGCTCAACCAGCAGCTTAACTTCAGTGAGTAGCTTTGCAGATGGCATTAAGGGGCTGGGGCCAGACGTTCGAATCAAGGAGAACAAAGTTAATCAAGTTCATGGTACTGCTGCTGAACACAGACCTCGCAATACGCCATTTATGGGAATCATGGATAAGACTGCCAGGTTTCAGCAGCAAAATCAGTCCAGTCGCTCTTGGCATTCTCAGACCTCGGATGGATTATCAGCAAATGTTTCTTCTGGGAGCGTTCAGTCTTCTAATTTTGAGCAGTTTTCAGTCAAACACTCTCAAACTAAAACTTCCTCTGCTGTTACTGTCCCAGGAGAGAGCAACCAGAATGGTATGCAAGCTAAAGCACACGAGGAGCTGAAGTGTCAAACAGTGGCCTACTGTCAAGATAACAGAGCACCAAAACAGGTTCTGCATTTATACCAAGATGCGCCATCAAAGCAGCACTCTCACATCAGTAAGGAAGGTCACTTAAGCCATGTCACCTCTGCAAAACCCAAGCGATCATTTATCGAATCAAACGTGTAAATATTATTTTGTACATTACGTAGTTGTAGAACTTTGCTTCCAACATCACGGGGTAATCCCACCACAGTGGGCTGCTGCTGGGCGCGCAGCCCATGCTGACCAGTGCTTTGTGGGGTGCGACCACTTCAAGCTGTTCATACTGACACAGTAACTGGAAAAGCCAATTTGTGTAGGAACAGTCTGTTAGGATCAATCAGTCAATCAATCCGACAAACTAGGACCTCAAGTAGCAAAATTCTTGCCATGACATTTTACCCCCAAAAAAGAAAATATATATACATATATATATATATATATTTAGCTTCTCCATAGGGCTTTAATCTTTGCTTTTGGTTGCATTGCATCTCATCACTTACACAATAATTGTGCCTCTATTATGCTTAAGTGCTTACTTCAAAGAACAGTGTTATGAAAATAGATGCTGCGTACTCTTCAGATCTGTATATGGTTTTTTTAAATCAAAGATAATATTTTATCACTTTTCCAGTGGGCTCTACTTTGAGGTGCATGATGTACATTTAGGAAGCAAAATTTGTGTATGAGTAAACTCAAAGCAGTCATGCTTTGAGATGTAAATATAACTATTTTTAGTAACAAGTAAAATAAACAGTAACATCTGCATGTGTATTGAAAGGCTTTGACCATATTGGTTATTGCACTGAGTAACACAGCATTACAGCATGTTAACGATAATCGCACTTTATATAGTTACCTGATCACCTCTGGGTGCTATTTTAAAGCAAAATTCTGTATCGGCTGTTTATTATTAAAAAAGGTACAGCAGCGAAATGCTTAGTAAGTATTTCAATAGGAAGCCCAAGAAATGAAACGCAGGTGAAAGTTGGAAGAAAAGCGTATGTGCAGTTACTTTGTAGGATGAAGTTGTGGAGATTTTTCAGAGGAAATAAGGTTTATAGAGGCAAGAACACTTGGAAACTAAAGAGGTGCAGTGAGACTTCTGGCTGCCAGTGGGCGGGAGTGGGCAACCTGAGGCTGTCACTTCTCAGGTCTCGTGTGTTGTACAGTGGTGCATTACCTTGTAAACAGCTGTACGCGGTTTTATAAATCCTTTCCTGAGTTCACATTATTATGCTTTTGCTTATTTATTGCATACTATTTCTTTGGTATTTTGTACAAGTTTATTATTCTGGTCCTGTAGTTCTATTTTTGCACAGCTACTGTATTTTTTTCCATACAAAATTAAAGTTATGATTACAGCTGTGTGAGATGCAGTCACTGACAGCTCAGGAAGAATTCTCTCCCAGCTTCTCCAAATGCATGTTCATTCATAGGGAACAGGGAAATACGCTTTTTGCAATTAAAAAATAGAAATAAAATACAAAGTCTGTGCTTTGAGACTCACATTGCAAAATGAAGACTCGAAAACTCATAAATTTGAGGAAAATTTTAAGAAAAGTTATTTGAAAAATGCTGAGTCCTGGTGTTTGATTTCTTACAGAGAAATACCACTGAGTAAAAGTAAAATAACTTAAAAAGCATTCAGTAATTTTTTAGCAGCTTCCAACAGTGAAAATGCTCTTTTAGCATTAAAAGTGCATTAAAAGTGACAGCCAGGAAAGAAGAGAACTTTTTTAATTGCAGGTGTTTCTGACACAAATATCTCCTCTAGCCTACGATTACCTATATTTACATTTATGACATTTACCTTCATTTTAGTAAACAACTTCAAAACGACGTGGTTTCACCACAGTTCTGCTGAGTCTCCAGCCAACGGCCGATGGCCATTTTCAGTGTCCTGTTGGGTGTAAGCACAAGACTGGGAAGAGGGAGATTCGTCATGGGACTAGAGCGTCTTTTATTGCTGATCCAATTTTCTATTGCCTCCTTTTCGTAGGAATACCCATCTGCAAAGAAACCATCATCAAAAGCTTGCATTACAGACGATAGGGTGCTGGTACACAGTGTATATTTTACATATGTAAGAGGTAGAAGGGAATCAGTATTTCCAGGTAAGAGAATTGAGATGTAGAAAAATTATGTAGTTGAATGCATTACAGTAACAGTTCATACAGCAGTACTGAGATAAAATTCAGTTCCTGCAGTAAACAATGAGGTGGAAATGACACAGGACACATGAAATTGTTCAGTCTCTTTTGAGCCAACCTTTGTCTTGCCTGGGCTTGATTTAGTAAGAACTGTTGTGGGCCACGTATATGTGAGTAAGTTGCTCCAAAAGTAATGCCTCCTACTTATTCCTATGCAAACTACAACAGCTATTAGGAGCACAACAGCACTACTTGCTAGGGCAAATTCTCAGCTACAAAAACACCATTTTTCAACACAGTCACCACCTTTAGCTGTGCATTTTCGCCAGCAATGAACAAGAGTCTGCATGCCATGCTCATAAGTATCTGGGCCAGCCGAGGTGACCCGCAGTCACCACAGCTGAAACACACCACCCACCACCTCCCTGTGCTCACAAACACTGCTGAATGACAATGGGTGCCACTTTTTTCACCTGAAGGAATTCAATGACAGCTTTGTTTCATCTGCACTTCCATGTCAGACACCATTTGACTCCCTGTACTGCCATCTGTCATGGCAACAACATGCAATGGAATACTGGTGGGAAGGTTCAACCTCTACTGCCATCACACTGACACTCACCTCTTACGGGCCAACAAAACAAAACAGGAGGTGCTGCTTTTGGAGCAGCCTTTGTAAAACATACATTATTGCTATTATATGAGTAACAGAACATTTTAATTGTAATTTTTTTTCTTAAAGCATTAAAAGAGAGGAACAAAGCCACCAAATCAGTGGGATATTTGACCTTCTGTACAACCCTTAAGTGCCATATATACAGCTGTGTAAACTTAGTAATGAGCTTGTGTTTTTGCTGTTGTTTCCCTTGTGCACAATTCCATTGTGTATTCACAGAGACAACTCTCTAATTAGGATTTAAATATATACTTGCAGAGGCACAAAAAGAAAAGAGCATAAAAAAAATTTTATATGGTTCTGTCAATAAAGCAGACACTAAAGGAATCACAGTACTGTATTTTTCTGTCACAGATGCAGTTTGGCCAAACATTTACCACAGTTCTGTTCTCTTGCAATAGCTACTTAGATTAATTTATCCTATTCACTGTAGAAAGACATGGCCAATTTTTGTGTTCCCATGCCCATCTTTAAGCCATTCTCGTTATTCAACATTGCTCAAAGTCATACCTGCTGCAATGACAGGATCCTTCATGAGCTCCCGAGTTATAGGGCATAAGAATTCATCAGGAACAGCAATGGAAACAGAGACTGTTTTTATCCTCAGCTCTTTGATCTTCTGGAGGATTTTACTGCGCAGGCCAAGAGACTCTGAAAAGTTATTGGAATACAGAGCAAAAAACATCATTATGTGAGGCAGAGAGGTTGTTCTTGCATTCACTGCCATGCCAGAGGAGACACAGCTCAATCCTCCCATCCCCACCCAATATTGAGAAGTCCGCAGAACTACTACTACCTTAAATTTGGATTCACAAATGGGCTTTAGACCCAGAACAGAGGGGACACAATCACCTCCCTCACCCTGCTGGCCTCCCCTCTTCTGCTGGAACCCAGGATAGCACTGGCCCTGTGGGCTGTGAGCACACTCTGCTGTCTCATGTTCAGTCAGGAGTTCTCCCAGTCTGTGTACATATCTGTGATTACCTCAACCTAAATGCAAAACCTTGCACCTTGCTTTGTTGAACCTCATCAGGTTCATAAGAGCCTCCCTTAGGAGCCAGGGATACATGTCACCCAGCCCCAAGGATGTGAACACAATCAGTCTCGTGTGCCATCCTTACAGTGGAGCAGAATTTGTTCCCACCTGGAGATCCAGATTCAGGCATGTGAGAATCCTGGCTGCCACTGACGACTGAGGCAAAGCACTCATTAACTACCTAATTTCTATAAAAAAGATTAACTAATGACATATGTAAGGATTAAGATACTGTAAAGATTGAAATACAGTACTGAAATATAATAAAAAGCTCATGCTTATTATTAAGGAAGATTTTGCATGGCAATATTGTAAAGATCTGTGGGATCAGACTGGGATCAAGAAAAATTAAGAATATAACCAAAGAAAAGAAAGGTAATAAGGAACAAAATTCTGTAGTTGTAACTACATTTTTTGAGGGCATCCTCTACAATCTTTATTACAAGAGCAACTTTTCCTAGATCTTGCTGATGTAGCCAAATTCTTGCATTCAGTTTGCACTTTCAATTAACAACCTCCTGATTAAATCTCTAGTCAGGAGCTAAGGGATTATCCATAATCCTTTGATAATTGTCAGTAGCGCAGCTCCCACTGCACACCATTTCCACACAACCCTCCAGTCAGCTTGATGAGTCTCAGCTGGTGATTGCTGCAATGGTTCTAGGCTACTCCAACATGAGGGAACGTATGCAGGAACACAGAGCTATGAGTCTTTCATCAGTGGCAATTCCTGACAGATTTGCAGCAATTCTGTTGATTTCTGTACTTCACAAAGCTGACTGACACACTGATACTGAGCTGACAGATACCAAGACCACAGATGTGCACACATGCAAAACAATAAAGAAAAAGGAGGGGAGCACTCTGTCTACAGGAAAGCATGCTAACTTCATAAAATAGAAATATAGAAGGGTTTCTTGACTCATTTGACTGTTTTTATACTCAGTCTCAGGTGTAAATTAGTGCTGATGTGTTTGCCAAAACATCCAGCCACAGAGAACAGAGAACATTCTGAAAGCTCTGCAGTAGTCCACCACAGAGAAGTTTCTTTTATCAGAATTCAGGAAGTGAGTGGTAACAACGCCACAGCGTAGGAGTCCTTCTAAAACGTAACTTCAGTTTTCAATAAAGTGACAGGGCAACATTAAGCAGAAGGATGCCTGATGAATTGCAAAGTGTCTGAGATTGGTAAGGTTTGCTTGAGCATTACTGACACCAAATGCTTTATCTACAAATAAGTATAAAATAAAACATATCCTGTATTTTTCTGCTATGCTAACTGTACTCTGAAGTGTACTCACTGCTAAATTTAAGGTAGCTCACCATATAATATGACAGACGTGACGCTTTTTATAAACTGACAGGAAAAAACTGGAGAACCCCATTTACCAAGTCAGAATCAGTAAGTCTACATGAAAGGTGAAATTACTTTCCCACAGCTTAATGACCCAAAATCTAAAAAAGGAAAACAGAACCAAAAGCAGGTAAGACCACTTATCAACACGGCATTGCCAGAGAATGAGCAATTTTACGTTTCTAGCTATAAGAAAACAAACAGTACTTGGGATAATGTGACATTAGTTTTGTTTGTCTGTTTCAGTTACCAACAGTAGTGATCAAAAACGCATTTCAGAAAAACACACCCATGCATGAAACTTCTCACTTACTTTCATCCCAACATCTTACATAAACATAAAGGACTACAAACTGCTTGGATTTCTATATTCTTACCAATTTTTAATTCATTAGTCAGACTTTCTCTTGTAAGATTCAGGAGTTCTTTGCCATCGATGTTATTTGCTTTGAAAAGCCCAACAAGTTCTGCAAAGCCCTGTGCACAAAGCCAGGCTGAAACTTCATCCTCCGACCAGTTCTCAGCAGTTCTAATCTTAGAGTTATTTTCTATAGCGTTTCCTTTGGAAAGGAAAGACAAAAGTAAGGTAAACAATACAATGAAAAACAAAAAAAAACCCAAACCCAATCAGTAAGAACTATGGAATTAATGAGCATTTTCCAAATGCTCTCACTATTCCACATTTCCTAACATCAGATGAAAGCAATACTCATTAAACACTCCTTCATCATAGGAGGACAGTCATTTGGGTTTGTCTTTATTGACTCATTTTCAAAGTTCAGAGGAATTTAACCTCTCAAGTGCTGACGTCTGTCAAAACTGAACAAGAGACTGAGAAGTGTCAGCAGACACTAAAACTAAGTACCATATCTCCTTGTAAAAGCACACCAAATTCCAGACTGAATTCTTGAGCTTTGAACAAAGATCCATTTATTTTTACTCCACATACTTAAGGTACTCCTTAAGTTTTTCCTTCTGCAGTGACTGGCCAGTTGTATTTCTTGCTGACAATTATGTTTTCAATTAGCATATTTTCTTTTTAAATTACTGCCAAATATACGTCTTTGAAAAGTCTTTCAGTGCTCTGGGAATTAACACTCGCATCCTAAATGCTATACAGAAAGTAAGAAATGGAAAACACCAGAGAAGAAAGAAAGATAATATTCTTCTAATCTCTAAGTTGTTTGTTGTTTGATAACAGAGAACGCCTGTTGCATAACAAAAGGCTAAAAATACTTCAAGCACTGACCTGCACAGGGCTGCTTACTGTCCAGCTGCCATAGGTGCACAGCTTTATCCATTGAACCCGTGGCAAGTAAGAGACTGCGTGGCGCAAAGGCACAAGCTGTGACATACCTACAGACGTGGAAATTGACATGGCACTGAATGGATTTCTTTTATTTATTAATAGTAAGGTATCTATCATACTGAATTCATACCTGGTATGCTGAGACAAAGTATGAAGGATATTGCCAGTATTCTGTAAAAAAAAAAAGAACATTTGTGACTTTATTTCAAGAATGAAACACATTCCCTCATCTGTGCACATACTTTCAAACATAAGGAATACTATTTCTTCTTTGAATATGACAGAAGTCACCTTCAGAGTAGGCATATGACCTTGCCTAAGCCAACGGGCAGCAAAGTCAGATATGCATCTTGGCTTTCCTATGTGAGGTTCTCTATTCAGCCCACTGGCAGAAGGCTCCCCTTCACTGTAATAACAGTAGAAATATCAGCTGAATTAATTGTACCCGTATTGGCTGATTGTTCCTGTGGATAAGAGCATTTCTTCTACAAATCCAGGATTGAAAATGACCTGAAACAATAACTGAAATTCAAGCAGACTTTGTACTACAACCTTTAATAATTTACTGGGGATTACATCAGAGGTTTGTGTATTTCTATACTGGATGCTACTAAAAACAAATCCTCGAATTTTCAGTTTTAACACATGATTTGGGAGACTTTCCTCATGACTAAAGGTAGCATTTCTTTGGCAGGTACAGACAGAACTAAAAGATGAAGAGCAAAGTTATTCCAAGACAGTAATTCATAGTTTTCTTCTACTACTGGGCCTGAGGAAAGCATCCTATTTTAGGCCAGAATGTCTCTCTCCCATGAAGATTTATTGTCTTAACCTCGCTCAGCCTTAAAAACGGCAGAAGAACTTCTAAAAAATTTATTGCACCTTGTGTTAAAAATCTCAGGCTAAAAATCTGACCAACAGCACTGAGAGACAGTGATGCTGCAGCTGCCTGCAGTTTCGTTCCCTTGATGTGCCATTCCTCCCGGGGATCTAAGCATCAAACTACTGATACAACTGGGCCAAAACTGTGAAGGCATCCGGTTAGCCATTTTGATGACAAACACGCAACCCTCACTGAAAATCTCTATCAGTACAGCAGCACATGCAGAAAAGCTTAGAATTTGTTCATCTGTCATTCTCAGCAAAATCATTATTCTGAATATGATAAAGCTGTAAAGGTAAATACCACTGTTGGGTGAACCCCAAAGAATATAATAACAGTGTTACACAAAACACCTAAAGAGGATGCTTTTGAAGAAAGATCATTGTATGTAATGTAATTTTTGTCTTGAATTATTTATTATGCTTCCATTTAATTATTTAATACGCTTCTAATTAAATAATATGCTGTATATACAATTACTAAAGGATTTCTGTGATCACTGTCCCTCCTTTCACATCAATGCATACCATTCCTCTTGCTGTGAATGCTAGGATAAAATTTAAGATTAGCAAAGCTCCTTCTACTTCAGTAAGAACATGCAAGCATAGGATTCACTCAATGATACTGCCCTGCAGAGCAGCATAAAGAAATCAAATAACAAAACACTCAAATAAATGTCAATTAAGAATGAGAGAGATTGACTGGTTCTCAGGAGATATTTTACCTCAAGTTACACTTATTGAAGATTAAAAAATAAAAATAGGGGGTTTCATAGTTCTTATTTCATAATGTATTCTTTATCTTGACAGGATATTGCAGAAGTGCTAATAAAGACAACAGCAGAGTTATCATGAATAACCTTACAATACACCATACTTACAGTCTCATATATTATGACATACTTGTCCACAGACCTTTAAAAAAAAAAAACACACATTGACATTAAAATTATCCATAGAGGAATAAGGAATCAAACTATTTCTAATTAAAGCAGAAAAAAAAAAGAAAAAAAGAAAAAAAACAACAAAAAAAAACCCCACAAATATCCCAGCTTTCCCACAAGTAAAATGAACAAATAGAACTCTCGACAGAACTCAGCATACCAGTGCTTTATGGAAAGCAAAGCTCCATGCATTTCTAGCTTAAGACAATGATACTCTTTATCATGTTGTATCATTATGTATCTACAGCACTTTTAAAACAATGTATAAAATCCCAAATTCTGCACTTCCATAATTCCTGATGCTGAGGCAGGTTTCATGCAAACTGGCCCCCAGTTCCACGGCTCCCCACAAGGTACAAATTGGTCTTTGCAAGAAGTATCTGTAATGCAGATATTTCTATGCATTCTGCACAGAATCTGGCTATCCATTAACACTCTCAGCACTTCTACTGATTTCCAAAATCTTCTCATTTGCAAAGCAAACTAAAGGAAGCACTGCATTTCAATTAAAACTAAATGAAGGCCACATAAATGTCCAAAAAGAAACCCACCCAGAAATGATGTTCTTCACTACTTCTTAAGTTCTTTACAGAGTGGTGAGGTGCTGGAACAGCTGCCCAGAGAGGCTGTGATGCCCCGTCCATCCCTGGAGGTGTTCAAGGCCAGGTTGGATGGGGCCCTGGGCAGCCTGGGCTGCTACGAAATGGGGAGGTTGGTGGCCCTGTGGGTGGCAGGGGGTTGGAGCTTCATGATCCTTGAGGTCCCTTCCAACCCAACCATTCTGTGATTCTGTGATTCTGTGATGAATCTCGTTGCAATACACAGAGAACAGAGCTTGCAAAATCCTAGATTTCAAACTCAATCCCCACCAGACACAAACAAAATGGAAAAACAATTCGCTGTTTCTGGAGGGCAGAGAGAACTCTTCTGCAATTACAGGAAATATACTTTGAACTCTGCAACTCATTTAAACATTCTGTTTCACAATACTTAAGTGTGGACAGGATTGCCATCTGAAATTTCAACAAGTATCAGATACTGCTTACCCTGAGACTAACATCTGCCCATCATAAGAAAATGCACAAGCCAGAACTGGGGCAGAATGTCCACTCAACGTGCATTTATATCTTAATTCACAACCTAAAAATACAAAAAGTAAATTATAGCAAATTGGATATATCTGATGAGGTACTAAGACAACATGGTTTTAGGGGCATAAAGCTGCCTCAAATACCTGACTCTGTGACATACTGTATAGAAAAAGGGACAAAGGATCACAGAGATAACATAATTTTAACTTCCGTGACCTCTTCACTTTGTATCAGCATCTGTCTAACAATATGTTAGATAATTGGGTATCTGAACATTCCATATTCATTCTTACAGGCTTCTAAAATTCCCTGCTGATGATTCTGGCCACATGCCCTGTCTCTACATAGCAGTCACACACTGTCACGGTTTTAAGATTTTTGTTATTGGTGTTCCACACCATAACATGTAGAGCCCTGGGAGTTAAAAGAGTTAATGCTGCAGTTCTGTGGATGATCCATATTTCCAGGTACCTGATTCTCAGAAGAGAGGAACAACTACACCTCCCAGAAGACTTCCACTGTTCTGTTTCCATTTTCCATTCAGAGGGAAAGATAAAAATGTCCACAAGGCACAAGAGGTCCCCCCTTCTGTTCCTGCACTCTCTGCGGTGTGAGCTCCCCAGCCACCTGCCTTCAGCATCAGTGAGGCCTTCGGTTTTGGACACTCTCATTTTATTTATTAGCCTCAGTTCCAATTAAATTGTATTCTATTGTATCATACTGTGTTATCTCGCATTCTGATATCGTACTTAGCAAACGAGTTTTGTCTCCCTTAGCTCATTGCCACTGCTGTGTTTTTAGGCCCACCTCCCATCTCTCTGCCTTCTCCCTCTTCCACCTCCCCCCTCTCCAGGGCTCTGCGGGTCCCCCTGCCCCATCAGTCACAGATCCAGGCCTCACTGACCCATAAACCATCGACACAGATCACACTGCATTTGTAGCACAGCCACACTGTTTTGATTCCTCCAGCTCTTGCTCAAAAGGCCAAAATTACTGAAAGATGAAAGAAGACCCCTCCCTGGCCTAGCAGATCGAGAGGTTTCAAACTATCCATGTGCCCAACAGCCAAGACAGAAATAATACTCGTTACCAGAAGATGAAAATGATAATTAAAAGCAAACATTTATCATAACATTGAGAGGACTAGGGGAATTTTTTAAAATCTTTACTACTGCTGTTAAACAGATCACTAAACAAAAAGCTACAGAGCCCAATCTCACAAAACACAGCATGCCTTAGCTGCTTTCCAGCAAAACAATTAAAAGAACACTTCCAATTTGTGGTTAGTTTGGCTGCAAATCCATGACAGCAGTATAAATTTGATCTTAGATGTAAACTGTCACTAAAGAGTTAAAACACTTAAATATGAAGAAGCATCACCATACACACCTAAGGAGTCTGCAAACAAAATAAACCAGACTTTGATCTTATTATCTTGACCACAAGAAGCCATCTGGAAGTATCCGGACGCGTGGTCACCACCTGATAAAATTAAAAATATTAATGGGAAATTGATAAGCACAAAAAGTAACAGCATATCAGTAAATTACATCACCACTCCTTCAGTACAATTTGGTAAATCTCCTTAATCTCAGAACTTTAAAAAGCATTGATAGAAAGAATTGCAGAAGTTCTAAAAATATCTGCGAGCAAGGACTGTGTATTACCATCATGTGATTTCCAGAACAAGAAGATGGTGCCCACAATTGCACAACTATGGTCATACTTGAAGTTCTTTGGACGATAAGAGTTTGATTCTTCTATCTGCCAAGAGTGGTGATATTGCCTTCTAACCACAGAACACGGTTATTTCCCCACTGTAAATGGTTATTTCCATTTCTTCAATAGTTCCCAAATTTTTAAATCATTTACACATGTTCAAAATTTGCAAATATGAAAAACTATTTCTACAGAGTTACAGTTAAGCATCTTCTCAAATTACCCCCAAGGTTTCATCTCTTGTTTTTCTGTATTTTCACTTTCATCTGGTTACTGCAGTAACATTCTCATACACAGAGCTGTTTGCAGTTCACAGGAGCCCTCGGAGCTGCTGTTTGCTGTGGCAGACCTTAGGATTTGCCACCAATCTGCCAAATATCAAAGTGCCTCCTCCTAGGATTCTGTGTAAGATCTGGGTCTCACCAAGAGATGAGCGGCATGCCTTAGCTATTATGGTGTAAAAAAACTTTTCTTGGCAAATCAGCCAGAATGAGAATTCTTTCACAGCACAAAAGATTTGGACATTTTACATGCTACCAACTCGTTAATGGGGATCACAGTGTTGTACATACCAAGCTCCTCAGAAGGGGAACACACTGTTTTCCATTAGGGTTCACTAAATCTTTTAGCAAAAGCTGCTTTTACTATTACATCTTAGCAGGACTTGTGAGATTGAGGGCTCACTTCTCCCCAGAACTGCACCAAGTCTGGTGAGGGAAAACAGTCTACCTGCTCACTCATCACAGCTGAAGCATTCTGCTTATGTTTATAGCTCTTTGCACTGCTTTAATCCAGTTCTCTTTCTTGGGGAAGCAGAGGAAGAAAGAGGTAAGTGGAAATAGTAATCAAGCACTACACCTTCTGACATTGCTCTTAGACCCTGGAGATAGGCTCACAGATGCTGCCCAAACACATTCCAAAACCCTGGCAGCATAATTAGCTACTTCAAGCATCATCGACCTCTCCACTACTATTACTTAAGAGTATTCAGAATACGGAGAAATTTCAGCTCTTCCCAAAAAGAATATGAAAATAAGAGCTTGAGAGAAATGAAATGACTTTTTTTTTTTCTTTCTTTCTTTTTTTGTCATGTTCCTCCCCTGAAGAGTCAAGTAACTAACCTGAAACTGGATATGAAGAAATATCACAGCAGGTAACGCCAAGATCGTGTGCTTTTTCGTTACATAGACATCTCATTGTATCATCCCAAATAGTCAAATCACCGCATGATGATCCAGTGACAAAGAAATTTCCACACGGAGAAAAAGCACAGGCCACCAAAGAACCATCTTTAACATTCCCAGACCTGAAAAGTAAGAGTGTATGATAACTGGCTTTAGAAGTAATGTTGTGAAGAGTTGATCTCTCAAATGCAATCTGATAGAATATCCAAATCATACTAAGTTCTGTATTTTGGAACTTGGTAACAGAAGGCAGAGAAACTGTGCAATTGCAGTGAGATGCAAAACAAAAGCACACATAGGATCCAGGACGTGCTCCTTGAGGAAAAACACGAGGTGACACCCCATGGTAAAAGCATTTAAGTTGAGTGATAAGTTCCAAACTAAAGATACTTCGCTAGGACTTACAGTTTGGAAGACAGAACACTGCTAAAATTCTATGGCAGGATACATTTTGAAAGTAAAACAAACAAACAAACAAAAAATCAGTAAAAACTGATATCTGTATTTTAACTAAGTCAATACTTAAACACAAGATTTAGATGAGAGTTAAAATAATCAAGCTTCTTAAGTATGCACTGCTTAATGTTAAAGAAAAACAAAAACTCAGCACTTCTCCTCTTAATGACCTTTTGCTATTCTGAACTCTATCCCATTTTTTTTGTCACATAAACCAGAAGTGTAAGGTCTGCAAGCCTGTACACAGTACTGCATACCAGCAGAGCAGCACTTGTAACAGATTACATTTCCATAATAGTAAATAAGGTTGTGAAAAGGCATTTGGCACTCACCTGTACATTTTCATTGAGAGCATGTTCCAAAGAACAACACTTCCATCAGCTGCACCCGACACCAGGTAAGAGGACTCAGGAGAAAAGCGGCAGACTCTGACTGGGCTGCCAGTGGGCTGCTCCAGCACTGCCAGCACCCGACCATCACGAGTGTCCCAAACGATGGTAGTGCCATCCGTGGAACACGACGCTAAAGTGTGTCCTGATGGAGAGAAGCAGCAGCAGTGGACAGCGTATGCATGACCTTTCAAAGGCGAGTATGGGAGCTCAGTGAAGTCATTTAAAGAGTAAATACGAATTGATTTGTCCAAGGAACAAGTAGCCAAGCACGATGATGAGAAGGCACAGCAGTTGACATCATCACTATGATCTGTTAAAGTGCGAACTAATGTCGCCATTTAATCCACTTCCAAAACAAACAAACAAACAAACAAAAGAACTTGAAGTTAAAACAGTTGGACATGTCTCCTAATTCATAAATGAGGCGCACACAGTGCCTTACTAAGATACATTCTCCTGGAAGAAATAACTGATCTGCAGGGGTTAATTTTTCACATATGTACTGTTTTATCCTCAACCTAAAGCAGATCACATGTACAACATGCAAATGAGGAGGTTTTGACTCCGTTACAGTAAAACATATTTTAACTTTTATTTAAGTTAACTTGCCAGTTTGCAACGGAGCACTGAAGCTCACATAAAAATTGTTTGATTTTAGGGCAATGGCAACATACTTTGTTCCAGTACTTTCATTTATGCTAATAAGTTTGCTGTTCAAATTTGTTCTCAATTGCACCTGCACAAAACATAATGCAGTACATGCGCACTGTAGAATCTAGTCACCAATCTAGCAACTTATAAAGCACTTGCTACATATAAAACAAATATCTCTTCCTACATGTGATTAGGATTCAGTGTCAAAACATTGCTTCGGGTTGCACAATGGATATAACAGTATTTTTAATTTTAATTATGTGGGGAAAAACAAAAGTTTTCCTAACAAGCTAGCACAAAGTAGCTGTTAGGTATCTTTGTATTTGTTTTCAAGCCATCCTCTCTTTAACTGGATGTGCCATGCATGCGCTTCAAAACCACCTGCATTAACAGGTTAGTGAAAGCAGCAGAACCCTGTCCCATATCCCTATAAAGCAGGCACCAGTACAGATACGTGTACAAAAAAACTGCTAAATGAATGCTAGATCTCCAAGTGGGAGCAGAGCAGACCACAAAGTATGCTGGGGGGAAAACAGAAATCACCAAAACCTACAGTTGAGCTCTACTTCCAAAAACTAACATCTACTCTGAATTAATGGGTATGGGAAACAGGCAAGAACAAAGACTAAACTGAGACTCGAATGTGAGAAAAAGCACTGCCCCTTCCTTTTGATTGCATTCCCTGCTCTTGTTAAACCAAGCAATTACCTGCACCACCACAGGTCAGGTTGTACTTTGTCTTCCTGAAACGATCTAGTTAGGTGCCAAAGTGTCAGACACAGTCGGATGGAGGACAAGGCAAGTTATTTCCCTTGTGATCTCCAAATTCTAGAAAGAAAATTTACATCTTCATAAACAAAAATTTACAATTCTTTGTAAGAGTAGATAACAGCAGGACAAGGGAAAATGGTTTTAAGTTGAGGGGGGGAAGATTTAGGTTGGCTATCAGGGGAACTTCTTTACTATGAGTGGTGAGGTGTTGGAAGAGCTGCCCAGGGAGGCTGTGGATGCCCCGTCCCTGGTTAACCAGGTTGGATGGGGCCCTGGGCAGCCTGGTCTGGAATTAAATGGGGAGGTTGGTGGCTCTGCCTGTTGAGGGGGGGATGGGGTGGAGCTTCATGATCCTTGAGGTCCTTCCAACTCCAGCCATTCTGAGATTCCATGTAGGGAAAGAGGAAATGGGCAAAAGGAAGAAGCAAGGAACCAGAGAGATACAGAGTGGGGAAAGAGACACGCAGAAGGGAAGTTGAGCTATAGTGTAGGGCTAAGGCAGGAACAGAGCTGCTCAGAGTATTGCAGAAGGCTCACAAAGGCTAAAAAAACATGACAGACAGCATCATGTGGTAGTTGGAGAAAACTTCAGTTGGGTATGAGCTCCTAGTATGGCCAAGAAACTACCATTTTTATCTTCCATGTTCCTTAATGTTTATATACCACACAGTTGTGTACTACTGTAAACCAAATACTGCAAAGCGAGTAATGCATTTGAGTCAAAGGCGGAGATGAGAATTTGAACTGCTCATGAAACTGCATTTGCTTCTGCAACAGGGGAGCTCCATGAGTATTCTCCAGGTACTAAGGCAGTGGGACTATGAGCCTCACAGACATCAGCAGCATCAGACAAGTGTGCCATGTGGCTGAGGTCAGGGAAAATCCCACAAAATACATGCCAGCCAGTTCCCCCACACTACAATCATGATCCAGGGAAACAGGAAGAGCGGAGACAAAAGGAAACGCCTACAATTCCACGTTATCCTGGTAGGCAAAAGCTGCTGCGCTACTTTTGTGGAGCCAACATCAAAATCAGTGCACTATTACTTACATGCTTCGTCTGGACAATCTGAAGGCCAGAGGCCAGCACAAACAAGGAAGCACATTCACATACGTGCACGGACACGTGCCTGTATACGTGCAGATACACACGTGTGAAGCGCACGCAGGTACACACACGTACACTTACACATACACACGTCTAAGGGCAAAGCAACCGCTCTCCTGAGCAGCAAACAGCGCGCTGCTTGTTACGGTCCGATCCTTAATACCGCCTGCTGTAACATCAGGACCCTCCCAGTTTTACGTCGATTCTCTTTAAAACTGTCGGACAAAGGCTTCAACAGGCCCGCGCTGCCTCCCCCAGCAGCGTCCGCTTTAACCCTCAACCCGGCGCACGGCTGCACGGAAAGCTCCGGCACTCCGGGGCACGACCCGCCCCTCCGGTACGCCGCCCCCCGCGGCGCAGCAGGGCCCGGGCCGCCACTCACTTCGATCTCCGGCGACCGACCCGGGGCGGCGCTCACGAGGCCGCACGGCGCTCCGCCCCGCGGCCCTTCCGCCAGCCGTCCAACTCGGAGGCCGCGGGGACGACGGGAACGGAACGTACGAGAGCGGCACCGCGAGCCCTGGCTTCGGCTCCCCCGCCTCTGTGAAGTAAAAGATGCAATAAGTGGCGGGAGGACGCCGGCGGCCGCGCACCGCCCTCACGGGAGCACTCGCAGCCGGCCCCGCGCACGCGCTCTCGCCCGCTCCGGCTGGCCTTCCCCTCAGGGAGCGACGCGAGCGGCGGCATTTTTGCCCCACGTCGTCTGCGCCTTTCCCAGACGCGTCTTCGTTTTCAGACGTAACGGCCGAGAGTCACGTCACACCGCCCTCATCTAACGCGGAGCGTGTTTGACGCCGGGATGGCGGCAGGGAGGCGGGCCGAACCGGGGCAGGCGCTTCCCGCCTCACACAGAGAAGTTCGCGCCCCCGCTCACCCGCTAAGCTGCCCCGTTCACGGACGGCTTTACGAGGGGCGCTCCGGCGGGACCGGCAGGCCGCAGCACGGAGCTGCGCTGAGCGCCCCGCCCTGCGCGCCTCCCCCGGGCCGCTCCCGCCCGGCCGCCGATCCGCCCCGCTGAGAGCGGCGGGCGTCAAGCAAACGCGGGCTGGTTGCTTTGTCGGCTGTCGGCCGCGCTGAAGGGCAGCGGCTGTCACGAACGCCGCAGGCTACTTAAGCGGGCCCGTATTTCACAGCTGGGAAAGCAGAACCAACTCACCGCGCCGAACTGCGGCTACTCATTTCTACTAACCGTGGTCACTTCGGGCAGTGCAGGCGGCGGGAATTTGTGTAATTAAAGATAACGTTATCTTCTTTGAGTGTACGTACCGACTATAAAAAAAAATGGATTACAGTGGAGAGCTGTAGAAAAGTCACAAAGTCGAATAGCCTAACTGGTTTGTTCCAGATTTCAGCCTTTAGTCCTCAGTTTGCAGGCACGTTGTGGTAAATCTAGAGCATCTAGGGACAATTTGATGTGCACTGAGCAAACTACGTCCTCTAGGTCACAAATTCAGCATTTTATATAACATTACTGTTCTTGCGATTTCTGTGCTTAAGTTCAGATAACCAAAACTGTCATGAAATTACATAATTACATAAAAAGATGTAAGGTTTAGACCTTTTTTTAAAGACACCTTTTGTCAGAGACAACTTCTAATTTCCAGCTGCCCTTGTGTCATCTAATGTGTTTGAAAGAGATACCAAAGAGACAAAACAGAATGCAAAGTGATAAACAGAGAACTCCTCACTGACCACCACAAATGCTATTTTTAAAGTTTTAAAGTTTGTCAGTGAACTCCACAAATTAAGATCAGCTTACCTTGTTCAGAAAGGAAGTAAGCACATTGGTCTCTTCCTCTAAGAAAACAGAGATGGAAACACTAAGAGGAAAGATTAGCAATTAAGAAAAACTGAAGACATTTCTCCAGCAGCTAAGTAAATGTCAGCTCTTTTCCACAAAGATATGACAGTGTACTTACATTTCAGGCTCACTTTTCAAATATAATAATTTCTGTAAATTTAATTTTATTGGAATTGGAACAAAAACTCCACCAGTGAGCAAAGCAATACACTGGCAATGCACCAACGTTAAGAGAGGTGAAGCACGTCCCACTATCACAGCACTAAGTTCTGGTTAACGATACCAGCTGCACAGCTAATCAGGAGACAGGCTGAGAAACGCAGCTGTGTGCATAACGTCGGTGTTAATACTGTTCCAACTCCTCAGAAAACTCAGTTCTACTATGGGGGATAAGTACAGAATCTGAGAAGAACAAAAACAATCATTTTCCATCAAAGTCATGCACTTGCCAATGATCTAAGCATTTCAAAACACACAAGCCTACTGTTCTATGTTCAAAACACAGATTACTCTTCATATCTATGGAACATACCAGCAAAGCTTTTTACAGAAGCATTCAGAAACACTACGAAGAAGTTAAAAGCTATTAAGCAGTCAGTGGAGTTAATGTTAGAATGTCTGACACCCACACAATTCTTTTATTGTAGCTTATGCCAGTTCTTCTGGCAAGACTTCAAGTAACGTTCAACAAGGTGTTCTGCAGAGGCCAACAGAACATACAAAAAATTGTTAAGAAACCGGCACTTGATGTTATCAGTCAGCAGAAGGAGGGAATGTAATGGCAAGGGGGCATATAAAACAAGACTCAAACATGGCATTCCAAATCAATCTATTTTCTTCAGTCAGGGCAATGGTTACGACTCATGCCCTCCTACAGACAAAAAAAAAAAAAAAGCTAATAAAACCAAACCAAAACACACATGGTCATTAGTTTTTAAGAAATATTACTACAGTATGTATTAACACTACAACAGTAACTGCTGTTGTAATGTTAATACAAGTACTGGGAAGCAAAGTGGCTGCACCTCTAAAGCCCTAACCGAGGTTATCTGCACTTATTCAGGAAGGCAGCAAAAGTGCTCCTCTGACTGCTTGGCAATTGCTTGGAGGTACCACTACAAAGGCCAGGAGAATTAGATGCATCGTAAGAACTGAAGTGCAAGACTCAAAATATATTATTGGAAATATTCCTGTACACAAGAGCTCAAATATTAAAATTGCCAAGAAAATCTGTTTTGCAAAACAATCTTTTATTGTATCCGTGCCACACACACTAGTGAAAAATAACACTCCTAAAAAAAAAAAAGAAAAAAGAAAAAGAATGCTACCTTTCCACAACATTTCTTTTAAATAAAGCTTCAAGTACTCTTACATTAGTAAAAAAAACAAAAAACAAAACAAAAAAAACAAACCCAAAATAAAAAACAAACCCCCAACCCCCACCTCTATCTGCCCCAACAGGCCACCACAACACACAGTAGATAAAACACAGTGGTTACAAATGTCTTTTTTTTGTCTGTTTTTGTTGCTTTTTTTGTTTGTTTGTTTGTTTTTGTTTTGTTTTTGTTGTTTTTTTGTTGGTTTTTTGTTTTTTTTTTTTTTTTTGTTATTTCTGTGGCAAATGGAGGAAAATGCTTCTATGAAAAAATACTGTGTGTGCTAGGAAATTGTCACAATTTTATTCCACATGGATACAAATGATTATACTTGAAATTGAGGCTGTGGTGGCTTGAAATTATGTAACAAAATAGAAAAATGGAAAACTAATATCCCCTACACCCTGTTTTTAAAGGCAGGCACTACCAAGATTAAGGAGACTCCACAGTGTTGGTAGAGGATAATTACTGTACAAGCCATATAGCTATAATTACCTTAAGACTAAAATAAAATGCTACTGTCCTCCTAAGGCATAAACAATAATATCTGCAAACGATATGTACACATCATACATATTTAAAACAAGACTTAATATAAACAATAATGAACAGTATATACAAGTCTCAATTTTTCTTCACTGTCTTGAAATACAATTTAACTACACAAGTGATGCAGCAACATATATATAAATGTACTTGTAACTCTACAGTAAAGTTTATTTTTAGTGCTTTTACAGCACATCAGTGTAAACAGTTTTACTTGGCTTTGTTTTACATTTTAAAACATTCCTTGTTGTATGTTCAAGATTTAAAGCAATTTTCTAATTCTTCCTTTTCACAGAAAACGAAGATTCTGGATGCTGTATAATCATAAATAATTCATAAAATTAAATACATTCACTAAAAAATAAACTACAAAGTAAAAAAATGAAAAATAGATATTTATTGGAAGGGAAAAAGAACCATTTTCCCGAGTAGAGCTCTGGTGGTTGAATATTCAGTGCGTTTTGATATATTTTAAATTGCTATTGCACTATAACACCCCTTTCTTTGAAATTCTTTGGGTGTGCTTCCCTGTTCTACCTAAATTAGTTTGTTAAAACATACAAACCAAGAACCAAGGGGCCATGGTTGCTGTAGGAGTGAAGCCTTTAGAACTAATATCACTTTTTTGTGATACTTCTAAGGAAGAAGAACAGTCATTAGTTATGTAGGAGCCTTGCACTTTCACGTTCACATTGCTGGTCTTATCAGTCCTCATTTAAGGGGAAAAATGAGTTCTGGTAACTTCAGCTCAATTTGAAAATCTCTGTCCATTTCTTTTCAAAATACTTCCTCATGTTGTGGCCAGCCCTGCCTATGTCAGAATCATCTTCATTAAAGGTTTCACAGTTGTCAAAAACAAGCCTGACATCTAGCGAAAATGCTTCAACGTTAGGGTACCTGAAAAAAAGAAAAAGGTGAATCATTTCTGGGACAGTTAAAGGGGAAAAAGAACACAACAAGGAACTCTGCTAGCATCAGTGAATCTACAACCAGTTACAGAACACGCAACGAATGTTCAATGAATAAATTGAATTTATCTAATTTCAGTATGTTCAGGAAAACAAACCCTAGAACAAGCAAATTCTTCTTCATTACTGTTTTTGTTACTTTCCAAAAAATAACATTAAGATAAAATTTCAAGACAGAACTGGGCAACTTTTTAATTTATTAGCTTGCCTTTTCGCTTCAACAGTTTTCTAGTTAAAATACTATTGGTATTTTCCACTTATTCATTCTTTCTTGGTCTCAAGTCCTTTCAAAGGGAGCGCTGAGTGTAGCCGCATTTACCCAGAAAATGAACAACCAGGTGCGTAAAGGGCTGCCTGGATTAATCCCGTTCCTTTGTCTTTACTCTTTTTCTTATCCTGATATAGTGTTCCAGTACACAGAGGAACTATTAAAAAGAAATGCAGTACTATTCTCAAGTCTCAGTTCTCAGTAAGCACACGTGGAGCACTGAAATCTCGGGGCAAGTAACATTAAGTTTACTTACTGTCCGCTGGTTAGCTTGTCTCTGATGGTGGAAAAGTCCATAGGCTTTTTGATAACTTTCTTATAACCGGGAACAAGTTTCAAGTTTACAGGAAGTAAGAAAGGCCAAGCATCCTCATGAGTTTCCAATTCTGAGAGAATCATGCTGAATAAAATAAGGATTTAAATAAGAAACGTTAAACTTTGCATAATCAGAAAAGCTGTTCACCGTTCCATAAATTCATCGCATACTGTGAACCTTTTCACCCTACAAAAGGAAAGCACTTACATAATCTGTGCCCTCTCTCAGAGGGGCAGAAAACAGCCTCAATAAAGAGAGAAAACTGACTATTCAGAGTAGCACTTAGTTCCCTCCAAAGATACTTACACAAGATGAGGTTCAAAGTCCTGAAGTTGCACAAATATTTCATCATAAATGATGTGCAAGCTAATAAAACAGTTACTGATACTAGCTTTCCAAAAACCACAAAGACACTCCAGAAGATGACGGTTTCCTATTACCACCTCTGTAATGCAACAACTACACTTCAGAAAGCCATCAATACCACAGCTCTCAGGGTTTCTCCTACTCTTGGAAGGGCATGGAGGAGTACATGTCACATACCACACTGTGACTGAGTATCTTCCATTGCCAAACAAGGCAATTACTCCCTGAAAGCACACAAAATCTTTTACAGCCACAGTCAAATCACCACGACCCATGTGGAGATGCATAACTTCCCCAAACACTG